AGACATGTATCAAATATTATATACATTTACGAAATTTGATTCATATAAGAAAACAGAAAATATCCGTGTTAATTACAATACGAAAATAGTTGCTTAACTTATTAAGTATAATACGTTTATACACTATGTGGTTATAGTTTGCAAATTCTGCAAGGATCTTTAGACTTTAAGGTGATTTACACTCTCGCATGAATAAACGTTCAAAACATGAATAAACGTGCAATTTTGAACGCGTAAAGTATTTGAGTATGAAACCACATACGCTTATTCGTGTGCTAACTAATACGCTTTAGAGAGCTATTAATGCGTTATACTAATATTCGGGCTACAAATTAAATTGATAATTCCTTACAACAAACATTTATGTTACTATAATTTTGAAAATATTTGAGTAAAAGGCACAAAAAAATAAAGTGATGCAGAAGGACATTTTACATCGAATTATGCAAAAAAAAATGTGTAACAGCTCTTACACGTTTATTCGTTACGGCCATCGAAATGATTCTATAACCAAAAAGTCCTTAATTTTTATGGTGGATAATATCAAAACATAATAGGAAATATTTGTAAATTAAAAGTTTGCCGTTGAATACGCCTCACAAAGACAAAGTGTATCTCTTTTACGCCCCATAAAACGACTGTCGTGACAACTAGTTCTAAAGGGGTATACTTAATATGGATTACGCCATATAATTTTATTTGAAAGTGTCGTTTACATCCAACACTTTGATAATGTCTAATTGATTTGGTTTTGAAAATGCTTTTATATCCAAAATTACGCAATAATCTGCATTAGCAACCTTAAAATTTGTAGTCGTATTAATCATTCTTTCATGGAATTTGAGAACTATAAAAATACCGTTCGATGGCGCAAAAACTGAATAAGATGGCGTTATTAATTCGTTTTATAGAAAATGATGGTTACGCTTTTTGAGCCGCAAAGATAAAAACATTTTTTTTTCGATGATTTTGCAGTAATTAGGGATTTTAAAAAATCAAAAATAGTTATAACTGCAACGGACAGTCTATGTTTTTGCGACTTGTTTTTTAATGGACGGTTTTAATTTAAAAAACATTTTATTGGACGAACAAATCATTTTGTTGGTAATGATATTTCAGTAATACAGTAATACTTTTAAATTAACACTATTTTTTTTTTATACAGTCTTAATTTAATAAAAAAAGTTGACGTGTCAAATCAGATTTACACACACCTCCTCCTGCTCGACGCTTTGGGACCCTCTACGGGACTTCATAAGACTAGACGACGCCGCTCAGAACAGCTGACGTCACTGCGGTCCCCTTGAGCCGGTTTGGAGATCCTTTTGCTATCACTCCATCGATATCAACGGAATTTAACTACTGACCCACGCTTCACCTGAACATCACTACCACTCACACGATACTTCACCATACACCTCAAACCCATCAAATTTTGATTATCTAATTTGTTACTTCTTTATCAACACACAAAAATATTATTATTTTATAATCTCCCATTTTATTTTTGAACGACTTCAAAAGAGGAGGTGGTTCACAATTCGACTGTATGTTTGTTACGTGTTACACCGCAAATTAAGAATCAATTTTCAACTTTTTTTTAATTAGGTACGCATCCGTTCTTAGAAATTAATAATCAAATAACTGTGAAAAATTGACACTGTAACTACACAAATCTCTGTAAATTGCCTTTCTCTTAATTAAATATTGCTGAGTTTGACACTAAAAGAATTCCTGAATATGGAAAATAATATAAGACTATACAAAATAATTGTTTAATGCTACCAATTTTCCTACCAAGAATCACTTTGATTATACTTTTAAATTACGTTATATCTAGGGAAAAGAATGTACACTACTGTTATAATAGATTAAAATGTTTTACACTCACTAACAAAATTTAAAATTTCCAACAACCATGCAAACTGTATACAGCTTAATTCAAATTTTTTCCTCTTGCCACCACAGTTTCCAGATAAAGCCTGTCAACCAAGACTTTATTAAGTTGGGGAGTGAAGATTTATTCCTCCCCTTTTAGCTGGAGTTATCCATGAAAGTACCATAAATCCATGTGCCTTTACTAAACGCTTTATCGGCCGGCCATTCCCCACGCAAATCAAATTAAGGTCCGATTAAACGATCCCAGCCCGATGTGTGACCCAGATACCGAATTATGTGGGCAGCAGGGTGTACTAATTGTTAATCAAAATACTTTTGAGAAATTATCACAACAAACATTTTATACTCTAATTTTTAAAGACCATCAGAATAAGCAATCAAATTCTTATTTTTTTTTCTTGATTTGATTGTGTTTGCTTTGAATAGGCTCAGAAACGCTAGAACTGAAAAATTCTCTTACCATTAGAATCATACATTATCCGTGATGAACGTAAGTAATAAAATGTTTTCAATAATGTTAGGGATCCATAAATATTGGAGTATCTTATTCTGACACCGGAAACGAGCAAAAACAAGTTTGTTATATGAGAGCATCCTTAAATATTTAATTAAAAAAATATATATACTAAATGTTTTATTATAATACAATTTTTTTTATTAAATATAAAAATGGAACGAAGATATTTTTCCGGTTGCCTTTATCAAAGAAAATTTTGTATTTTGAATGTCGGTCAAATAATAGGCTACCGACAGTTAATATAGGGGCCACTTGATATGATGCAAATATAATACGAACTATTGATCTCATAGTTCTCAATGATGAATCACTAAAACAACAAGTGCTTAGATAAATTTTGAAATTATTTGTTTTTGACATTATTTAGATACCACGTTTGATCATCCTTGAACATGCATTCTTATTTCCTTCGAGTCGAGATAATACCTTTTGTTATATAACGAAACAAACTTTGAATTGAAAAAATAAGTTATGATTTCAGTGATATAATGATGTCGATCGAAAGAATAACAGTGAGTTAAAAGGTGCCTAAAGTAAATTAAAAAAGGTATTATGTTGAGGTTTGTACCTCCTTGATGATTCTACGATCAAGCGTGGTCAGATAACCAAGCTAGATATCTTTCATGTATTTTCTCTTCGAATTAGCGTTCTTCTTTTCTTTTTCACTCTGGTGCTTTTCCCATCGAATATTATATTTACTTTTTAACCGACTTTAAAAACGAAGGTTGTCAATTCGAGGTTTATGTATGTAATTTCGTTGGATTGGAGTAATATTAATATATGTTGGTCAGTATGGGCTTCTAAGCACGTTTGCTAAATTTTATATGTGCATGTATGTTTGTCATTGGATATCTCGCAAACTAGACGTCGGATTGCAATGATTCTTTTTTTTTTTTGTTTAATTGCTTAGCTTTTAACTTAGGGAATACACTTAGTTTTACCAAAATCAGTTTCGTAGTTTTAAAGATATAAACTATTAAAATTTAAACTACTTATAAAATGAGTAAAAATATAATACAATTATAAAAGAATCAGTAAAATCCGACTGCGAAAATTCCTAATAAGACTAAAAAATTTTCGAGGTCGTTGCCAACCTTTTCCATATTATTATTTCTATGTTTTCAGTCGTTTCTCTTTATTACGAATTTTTAGATGTCTACTTAATTTTTTTATCAGACTATTTTTAAAATCCATATTCTTTCAACAACGGTGTCTATTCCCGTATAGTATTTGTATTTTTCAACTTGTAGATTATTATCATAGCATTTTTTTATTTAATTTCATTCGACGAACCGACGAACTGATAACAAAATTTCGTATTAAAGATTTGTTAGAAGCTACAGCGACGTAGCTCCCTTAACACATTGAGTGCCAGCTGGAACAGCTGGTTTTCTGGAAATGACCAAATTTTCTATAGGGTCCACTTTCTATAGGGTTTCTTTAATTTTAATATTGTTTAGGTAGGCTTAAAACGATATAAAAATATATCACGCGATATCGCGTCATCGGTCACTGGCTGGCGGGCCAAATCACGCGATATCGCGTGATTGGCATTCGACGTGTTAATTGTTTCCAGACCACAGGTGGCTTGACTTATTGAACTTCTATTCAAGGACACCGCTTATAGTCACAGGATCCCTGCACCGGAGCCCACCTGCCCTACGCTACTCTGGTTCACCGGTATTGTTGACCGGAGCTGATATCGGTTCTACACCCTTGACAGCGTCTGCCCGGCTTGTTACAACGTGAGCACGTGACCTTGACTCTAAAACTTTAATGATAAGTCCCCCCTCTTGATACACACAAGGATCATTACGAGAAAATCCATAAAACCTACACCTGAATTTCTTTTTTTCTTTACTCTGGGGGTGCTTCTCGCCTTGTAGATACTTCCCCGCGCCTTAGTTTGGACAAAACAATAACAACTTGGAAAATCATTTATGTTAAAATTATTGAGTTATGGTTATTTGTAGATATGTATTTTGTCCGTGGTGTGATGAATAGGCACAGAAAAGAATAAATCAATATTTGTAATCCTGTAATTTTTTTGATTGCCGATTGCTATCGTTTTGTAAATAGTCCTATTTAGTCGAGTAGTGCGGATACGCAGAGGCTATAAGCTCGATATCTGAGAATGACGTTATTGTAAGAATACGGCATTTATAAGTATGTTGCAATTACTATTGACAAAGATATATTTTAAAAAACCTCCATACTTGTTATGTTATACTTACAGTAACTGGAACCACCACACCTTATTTAATCTAAATCGCGTTGAATGAAACTGCAAAATATAATGTAGATTTTTCACGTTTTCGCTTCTGTATCAAACCATATATTTCAGTTTTATTTTATATTTTATTATACAAACAGCAATTATTGTTTGTAAAGTTTATTTCAATTTATGCGATAAAAGTAACCAATAACATGCAGCATATTTCCTATAATAATGTCTTTCCGATAAAATGCATAATATTAACCGTAGTTTCACTTAAAAATCACAAGTTACAAAAAGTATTTATATGATTAACCATTGTTAATATAAATTTGACATATGAAATTCTTTGTTGTGATAATATATTCCATGATATCGAAGTTGGCTGATCCAGCCTTGAGAATAAGATGGGGCGAAGATGCCAATGTTGAGGAACATCCTTACATTGCCGCTTTACTTTATCGATATAAAAAAACAAACATTGTTGGGAGATTCAAATGTACTTGTACAATTTTAAAGCCAATATGGGCTTTGACAGCAGCCCACTGTGTAAGCATTGAAGGAAAAAAGAAAATATACTTTTTCATCGGTTATGGTACAAAATTGCCCACTAAAAATTACTCTACCAGTGATGTTATTGAAACACAAAAGCATCCTTCTTTCAACAAATTTAATAATGACATTGCTCTGCTAAAAACAGAACCGATAGCTCTAAGCCGATATGGAAAAGTCAGCGCCGCGGACTATACCACATTGATAGGTCACGCGGTACTTGCATTTGGTTACGGAATTATGCAAGATGGAAAAAATCTTTCGCTCGCTTTCAAATTGGGCAAACCATTACAAGTAACAGACATGGTAATTAAGAAGTGTGCATCCGTACATAATAAAAGATCTGTTAATTTTCCGTCTGTGTGCCTTAGTCCAAAATGTGGAAAGGTTAATATTATGTGTTCTGGAGATTCTGGTGGTCCATTGATACACCCGTCTGGTATTGTAGCAGTTCTTTCTTTTGGCATTGAAATATACTGTCATGAGTATTTCATACCAGATGAGGGAGAGAAATTGATCTCAAGCGGTAGTTATATGCCTGTTAGCCCTTATATTGATTGGATATCCAGTATTGTTAAAAAATAACTGTTCTTAAATTCATTAAAAAGTGATCCAAACGCCTATTTCAAGGTGTCACTATCCTGGTTAGGTCAATATATTTAAAATTATAAATAAAATAAAAATCCTTTATTATTTTTTTAATCATTACATGTTAAGCATTTTTTTTTTTTGGATTTATAACAAAAAACATTCATGCAAACATAGCAATAATAATATTATTTCACAAGAATTGTCTTTACAAAAAAAAACTAAAATTATTAATTATTATAAAATATTTAAAATTATCATTTTTTTATTACTTTAATGATTGTTATTACTATATATTCATTTACATTATTAGATATAATTTATATTTATTACAAATTTGAAATAAAATTAAACGTATTATAAATGAGAACCCGGCTCTAAGTTTTTTTCTATATATTTTCTTTGTTTCCCAATAATTTTTTGCTCTTTTCTGTATGTCATCAAGCCATCTTCTTGGTAGTCTTCCATGTTTCCTCTTAGCTGTAGATCACTTCCATGTAATGACTTTCTATGTCCATCTTTCGTCTTCCGTTCTTGCTAAATGACTGGTCCATTTCCACTTCAATTTCATAGGGTTTCAATTAGTTTTGTTTTGTTCTTATTAATAATGTTGCGTATTGTCTGTATTCTTTCGATTTTTAAGATTAATCTTTCCGTTACAGATTGGCATATCCTGATTGATTTTTTCTTTACTCGTTCTGTATATGTTCAAGTTTGTGAGCCGTGAAAGTTTGTGAAAAAATAGAACTTACCATTCGTTTCCTTTTCAGCGTTATTGGCAGGTCATCTTTCAGTATTTTCTTGTAAGCCAAAAATTTTTACCATGATATATTTATTATTCTTTTGTTTTTCTACCATTTTGTTATTTGAATAAAAGGATACTTCATTTAAGCAGAACACTGACAAGAACATTTTTATTCAGACTGCTGCTTAACAGTTTATATGCAGACAGAGCTCCCTTCATATATTACATTGTACTGATCAGATACACTATGTATCATATTTTTCTTATAGAAATATAGAATATTTTATATGGCATGCACAATTGATCAACTATGATAACTACTATATTTTGCATTTTTCCAATTAACATTTATATATTAGTTAACATACATAATAGTTAAGTTCTTTATCAACATTGCTTTAGTTAAACCCATATCTAATCCAGAGAGTGTAATCTAATAAGTATGTAATCCAAACACATTACCTCTATACTTAAATTGTGTTTTAATTGATAAAAATCTCACGTGGGGGCCTCAAGTACAAGAAATGAGCCGTAAACTGTTTGCTGCAGCTGGATCTTTAAAAAGATTACGGAACTTTCTACCAATAGCCACTAAAACTGCGCTGGCGCAATCTCTTCTCCTTCCTATTCTAGATTATGCCGATGTCAGCTATCTTGACCTCACCGAAGAGCAATTAAATAAACTTGAGCGGCTTCATAATTTCTGTATCAGATTAATTTTTGGATTACGCAAATATGATCATGTTTTCGATTTCCGTACTAAGCTCAAGTGGCTACCAATTCGTCTTCGCCGGAATACACACATTGTTTCTCTCGTCTACAGTATTCTATTCAATGCTTTTTCACCAGCTAACCTCAAGGAACACTTCACGTTCCTTCACGATACGCACGCACGAGTTTTAAGGTCGTCGGAGAATCTGAGACTGGCAATACGTATATAATAAGTAAATTTCTGGACAAGTATTTTACAGTATAAGCTGCTCGCCTCTGGAATGCATTGCCGGAGGATATTAGGCGTGCACAAACCATTAACAGTTTTAAAATATTAGTTAAGGAGCACTATTTACCGCTGAATTCGAGTATATATATATATATGTGTGTGTATATGTATTTATATAAGTGCCTAAGTATGTATTTTTGACTATGTATGCTTATGTATTATAAACAACTAGCTTTTACCCGTGACTTCGTCCGCGTGGTAAAGTTACTTTGAGCAGCATTTCTAACGAATATTTATTCATTATATCGTGTAAAATACCTGAAATAAAATTTCATCTCCTATTTTATCCCCTTGGGGGTAGAATTTAGAAAACTGATTGAACGGCCCAGTCAGTACAGTCGGACAGTAAAGACTTTATGATTTTTAAAGATATAATTGTAGAGTGTCATTCATATTTTTTCATAGTGGAAATAATAGTGAGAAAAACGGGATTGTAATTAGTTGCAAATCACCTTTATGGTGGTGTTTTATTTTCAAAAGCAGATGTATTTTCTCTTCAAAATTGTAATAAATATTGAACAAAATTACATAAGTAAGTACACTGCACATTATTGTGCTGATATTTTAAAAATCTGAAATAACAAGGTACCACTACAGCCACGCTAGAGACAATAAAGAACAAATTATTTATTACTGTAACCCAACTGGAAATCGATTCCGTAATCTCAGAGATGGTGACACCTTGAAACCAACGTGCGAGCCACTCTGTCACGGAGGTCAGACAATATGAAAGACAATAATAAACATGAACTATAAGTGAAAAAGTATAAGTGAAATGGATATAAATAATTATTTTCAACAGCAATTCTCTATTTGCAGGATATCCTACAATCATCTTGATTCATGCTTCAAGTTAGTTTAAGCATACGTTATTTGAAGAAGTGAATTTATCAAAATAATATCTCCTTTACTAATGAAGTTGGTACAACATATAGATAACTTAATAGGAACAGTTTTACTGCCTTGAATGAAGTAGATGATAATCGACTAATTCTTTAGATCGTGGTATATCCTGAATCTTAATCCGAACATTTACCGAGAGCGCCTTTGATGTGTTACGTAAGTCTCTACTTAATCCTCATGGAATAAGAGCCTGATTAATTTATGTTAAACACCGAATTTTCACTATCTTTGAGTCAGTTCTAGTAACAACATCTAAAACTTGGGATAGTTAAATAGTTTCATAGATTAAATCTATTAAATACTCGGATTTTAGAAGTTTTTTTTTTTCTATAGCGAATATATAAATTCTCTCTGGACGATGTCGTCCGTCCATCTAGTCGAACTCCGACTAGATGGACGGACGACATCGTCCGAGTCGCGGGCGGCCACTGGATGCAGCTGGCGCAATGTCGTCCGTCGTGGCGTTCAAAGGGGGAGGCCTATGTTCAGCAGTAGACGTCTTCCGGCTGATGATGATGATGAATATATAAATTATGAGCCGCTGATAACGTAGTGGATAAACACCACGGCCCACGATCGTTGTTGTTAAGCAACTTTCGCAAGGGTCCGTCACGGGATGGGTGACCAAAAAATTATTATCTCTAGTTACTCCGTGCTTCGGAAAGCAAGTTAAGCCGCTGATCTAAGCTGCATTTGAAGACGTTAAATACCCTCCAATCCACATTGGGCCAGCATCATGGGCCATTCTCCAAAACCATCCATAAGGGAGGCCTAAGACCCTGCAGTGAGGACGTAAAAAGGCTGAAGATGATAATTTTGAGTATTATTTATTAAAAAATATATAATAAGAATTACCTTCATACTTATAACAGTTGAATTTTATTCACATAACTTCTTCAAATAACGTGTGCTTAAACTAACTTAAAGCATGAATCAAGATGATTGTAAGATATCCTGCAAATAGCGAATTGCTGTTGAAAATAATTATTTATATCCATTTCACTTATACTTTTGAAAAGTTCATGTTTATTATTGTCTTCTTCATATTGTCTGACCTCCGTGACAGAGTGGCTCGCACGTTGGTTTCAAGGTGTCACCATTTCTGAGATTACGGAATCGATTCCCAGTTGGGTTACAGTAATAAATAATTTGTTCTTTATTGTCTCTAGCCTGGTTGTAGTGGTACCTTGTTATTTCAGATTTTTAAAATATCAGCACAATAATGTGCAGTGTACTTACTTATGTAATTTTGTTCAATATTTATTTCAATTTTGAAGAAAAAATACATCTGCTTTTGAAAATAAAACACCGCCATAAAGGTGATTTGCAACCAATTACAATCCCGTTTTTCTCACTATTATTTCCACTATGAAAAAATATGAATGACACTTTAAAATAATATCTTTAAAAATCATAAAGTCTTTACTGTCCGACTGTACTGACTGGGCCGTTTAATCAGTTTTCTAATAAGTATTAGGGTAACAATCACAGAACACGGAAAAGAGGTTAGAAAGGCGATCATGCATCCTTTGTACGAAAACCGATGTAGCCAGTCTTGCTCTGCTTTTAGTCCGCCGTACATCAGACGGATAATCAGACCAATTATACAAAAGATTGAGACACACTTGTATTTTAAACATGCCAATCAGAACGCTCCAATATAACTATAACCAATCACGCTCAACCATAACAGACATCTATAGTGCGCAATAAACGTGTAAAAGCCATTTTAATTTGACATATCACACTAGTGATTGACATAAAGTTATTTACTATCGATATTGAAAAACAACAAGTCGATTAATTGAAAGGATACTAGATCAATGATTTCTTTATATTATATTAGATATACATTGAATTGTATTGATTATATGAGATATTATCTTTTTTCTTTAGATATAAATTCTTAATTAGTTGGTTGATTCAAAAAGAAATATTTAAATTACTAATGAACTAATATTGAATCGGTACTAGTCGAGCTTAAATATTTGCATATAAATGTTTGTTTATTAATAATAATAATAGGTTTTTTTACGTTACGTTACTCGAGTTCGTATCAAGTAAACAGATAAGATCGGCAACATCGCTTAAATGAATCTAGTAATACTGACAAACAATATAATGTAAATAAATATATACAAAATAAAAAAATACGATCAGTACAATAAATGCTATTGGAACTTATCCTGAACAGACTCCGATGATTTAAAAAGTATTGTTGTTAATGGTTCAAAATAAAAAAAACTACTTTTCTATTACAATATTAATAATATAAAAACGGACTTATTACCACACTCATTATCAAATTAATATACAAACGCATTCCAAACGAAGTCAATATGGTTAATCTCTGATTATATTTATTTTTTATTACCACTATTTTTATTGCCCATACTTTATTTAGTTTTTACTACCTAACATACCAAGAATCGATTAAATGTTTCCAGGCACTTCACTACCCATCTACCGTAATCTATTATGTTGTTATTGAAAACGGTAATTTCGCGATATTCATTACATTACGTGCTTAGTACGACGCAATGTAATAAATATGCGCACTTCTCCAGCAATGTATATTTTCTTGGAAATACTTTTTGTGATTCACACTTTTGATAACATTTCACGATTTTCGACTAAAAATACTAAATTTGAGAAGTGTTCTACTTAATAATGGAAAGAAATCCTTCCTTTGGACCTACTTGAGGATGGGCTTCTTGTTTTGCAATTAATAACTGCGAAAGTCGGCATTTTTAACACTTTTAGTGGCGTGTTTCACAGTACGTACAGCGCGCGCGTTCGTGAATGACTAAATATAGCGATCGCGTGGTGAAGTCATGATCCTGTACATTTGTCTAGGATCGTGGCTCTACTGCCACGCCCACAAGGCCCTTCTAACGTCTTTCTGTGTTCTGTGGTAACAATCATAAAAACTATTGTTATATATAGTTCAACCACTATGTTCTGTGAGTTCAACTGTAGCTGAAGTCTACAATTAGGAATAATTAAAAAGAAATAAGAAAACCTAAATTAGATGACGGTACCGTCAGATACATAAAAGTACGGTTCGGATCACCTTGGGATTCCTGGCTAGCCACCAGGGCCCGGACCACGCGAGAGGGTAACACGGACGATTGGGTCAGGTAGGCCAACTGCTCTGGATCGCCGTCCTTTGCAGAATGCACTTGGAGTATCGGCCCCTAGTCCAGGTCGTTGATATGTTAAGGTCAGTTCCCTTCGGTACGTAATAATAAAAATATATGTGTAACTTTTTGGGTACTGTGCTTAATGCGGGACAAATATGTCGATGACTACAAAATGGACCAAAGATTATATTTTCATTCTAGTCCACTTAACCGAAAAAAAAACTGAATGCGATTCAAAAATAATTCAATTAATTTTGCAAATTTTTTATATAAAAAATTAAGTTTTTAAAACACGGTAGACATCACGGTAGAAATGTTTCAAAAGTACGTAGTGTATTTTTTAATGCTTCCTCGTTGCAAAAAAATGTTGTCACATAAAGGTTTATTTTTATATATTGGTTTAGTAAGTTTTATTTCTTTACAAACTGCTTGCTTGCTTCATTGCTATGTTTCATTTTGTCTAAAATAAAAATCTACTTTATTTATCATTAAATAGGTTCTGCTGTACATGAATTACCACAGGTCCAAACGGAGCCTAATTTCACCTAAGGTGTAACTTGTATATTTAAGATAAAATACCGTAGAACATAGAATTAGTTTAAAGGGTTTTAGTCAAAGTCAGTTACTGAATGTGAATTAAAATTTATATATATATATATATATATATATACTATGTAGTATTATATTTTTCTTTAATTAGCTTAAGAAAATACTTTATCTACAATATCTTTTAGACAAGTAAATAGTAACAATGTAATTATAAATTATTGGTACGTAGTCTTTAATACTGTCTTTAATACTTTTATATAATAAATGTAAACGAACAAATAAGAAAAACATATTTCAATTCAAACAAATTTTAATACAATCACTAATCATCTTTGGATATATACACAATTTAAATAAGACAAAACGAACAAGCAACAATATCCGATGCTAGTAGAGAATGAAAATTGACGGCCCACGAAATGGCTCCGAGTGATTGGTTGACTATCTTCGGCCGCTAAATGGACGGAAATTACAGGGGTAGCCTGGCCGACTGGCAGCCATGAGCCAGGCTTATATACAACTAACAAGATTTCAGTTCTGCTACGTTCAGCACAAAGATCACAATTGAATACGCAATATCAACATAAATTCCACTTGACACCCTCCACCTTGTAGATTCCCAAAAGGAATATTTTAGACTAATGAGGTTACAAAACGAGATCTCATTACATGTTTCTAGTCTTTAAATAGGCACTCCTATAAGCATCAAGTCTCCAGTAAGTACACAGGCGGAGCGACGTTTCAAATTCGCTCGTCCAACACATAAATTCAAGTTAAATTCTTTTTAAATCCATCACCAATTCTCCGGGCAATATTCTAAAAGTTCACTAATAGGACACGGCTTTACGCAACACTGTTGGACCAATTTTTCTGTTCTCTCCTCAGTGAGAAACATGGACGCTCTCTTCCCTCGCACTGGAGTCCCACTCGATTTCATATCACGAAAACTGAACACTTCGCCAGCGCATATTTGGAACACGATAATTGACAATGAACTCTTGCATTTATCTGTCGGACTGAGTGCCGCCACGTCGAACATTTCTTCGTATATTAATAACGCGTAAATTATATATTGGAACTTATTTGGAGACATTTTTAAAATGCGTAAGAGTACGTTACGCTTGAGTGCAGACTTCCGTCTAGTATGCGGCTCGGGTTTTCTCGTAATAAATAGAAATGATAACCTGTGTCCGCGTAGTCTACTGCACAACGTAAAGTTCAAAACAACAAGTCGGGGCTTCGGGAGTCAAGACAAGTCTCCGTTTGATATTTATAGAATTTTGATAAGATGCTGTTTTTAGAGGTCCGCGTCTTCACTTAGGCCTATTGATATTTGATATGGCCATATTTTTGTATTATAACTACCGAGTGGTTGATAAGATAATTTTTAAACGAATTTATTAAATAAATATTAGTTTTTTATTCAACTAGTTGTTTTTGTGTATCGTTACTGATACCATCAATGTCATGTGTTAAGTTATTATGTGGAGACGGCTATTGTTTTCTTTTTTGAACAGGTAAACTTTAAAAACTAAAACGAAGTTTACAAATCACGTTCGATCTCGAAAAAAATAAAGGTTCTGGATTAGTTAGTCACTTTTCTAAATCTTAAAGAAACTGGTTCAGATTTTTCTGTCTCATATTTATAAAAAATAAAGGGAGAAGACCTTATTTTATAAAGAAATGTTATTTATCTTCATCTGTTATTTCCAGTATAATACGACAGAGCGAAGGGCGCTCTAATCAGCTTGTTTGTTGTTTATTAAAAATATATTTTGTTGCTTAAATATGTCAATAGTCAGCGTGTCAACATAAACGATATCCGTATTTGAAAACAATCATTCATTTTCGATAAAACGTCGACCTCTATCTTGTTGTGTAGACCTACTTTTAGTATTACTAATATTATAAGAAAAATAAGATACTTATAATAATTTATTAAAAAATGTAAGAAATTTATACAATGTTTTAGCTTTCTTATATCACACGAAAGTCATAATGGATATTAATTTAAAAAACAAAATCCAGTATTATATTCTTTACTCATATCATACGGCGAGGAGACACATCTTTGAAATGTCTTCTGGTGGGGAGCAAAGTGAGGGACAGAAGGGCGTGCAGGTCTCCCATGCACTGGGCCGACCAAATAAGACCTGCAACGGTCCACTTTACGAACGCATAAGAAAGATAGCAAAGCGAAGAAATGGCGAAGCATGTGATGAGTACAGCGACATAAAAGAAGAAAAGAAATTATCGTATCAAGATATCATTAAATAAATTGTTAGTTAATAAAAAAAAAATCAGACTTTCTTGTAATGAATTTTAGTGGAACAAACACATTCAGCAATTGCTTGGAGTTTGTTTCCCGCGGCGCCGTCGCCAGGTGTTCTAGCGCTTGATCTCCGCACTGAGGGCTAAATATGTACATAGATATACTACCATACATACTCGCGATTAACAATTAGTATTTTTTTTTACATTTTTATAACAATACTAAATTTGTTTGACTAATAGTTTAACTTGTAGCTTAACGTGGCTAACGAACACACAACATTTGTCTGTGAGTAAAACATAGCATTGTGAATTTCTACTCTCTTTGATGTGATTGTTTTTGTAATATTTATACGTCAATAACTAAGAAAATTTAAACATTACGATTAGTCAAGCATTTATTCCTTAGTCAGTGTTATTTATATACTCATTTTTTTATATTTATATACTCAAGTATTCAATATCTTGTTTAAACCTTTCCCCAATATATTCTACTTAGCTTGGCAATAAATAAATAGTTACGATCTCCGTAGCAGAATGTCTTAAGGGATCGCCATGGCCTAGATTCGATTCCATACCATTCCATATCTTTGTTCAAGGTTCTATAATACAACTGCAAGTGTTAACACTTGAGAACTATATAAGTAATTATTATATTTGATTAATTTCGTATTAACAGTGCTATACTGCAATTTAATATAAATTTTTAATATAAAATGCTTAATAAATCCACTTAGTCCCTAGCACCCTGAGATGGGAATCGAACCCACGACCTTTCGCAATCCGGGCGACTGATCTAACCGCTGAGCTACCCAGGACCTAACAGGACTGACGAATCTTTCAAGCACTTGTTGCTTTTCGCTACTACAGAGCGTACTACAAAGCCGAAAGAAATATTATTACAAATATTGAAACTTTCGATAAAGATGAGAATTTTGTTCTAATTATTATATTTCAGTCATTTCACATTCACAATGCTATACTGAAACATTATCGTTTATGATTTGTTCTAAATCAATTATAAATTAGTGAATTGTTCGGGTGCCCTCTTAAATTTATGCAATGCGCTTGCAAATGGAATATGGAAAGTTTGTATAAGTGGAACGTGTAGACGCCACGCTTATAATGCGACTACACAGTTACTATAATTGTAAACAAAGTTGTTTGTGATGATATTTTAGAGTGGAAAATACAGTAACCATAAATGATCACTCGTTTGCCTGTCCATCCGTCGATATGCCACAGCATTTTTTTCTTAGACAACTGGAAGGATTGCATTGAAATTTGATAGGTATTATGTTAGTTTTTATTAAAATAACGTTTTATTAAACGTAGCACTTTTGTAAACATAGCAACCACTTTTGGGATTGACGTAAAATAAAAGAAAGAAGAAGAAGTAATATAAATAAACGAAAGAGTGAAATATGAGAATCTCGATAAAATACGTAATATCGTGGGACTATTGTGAACTTGAAAGTTTTTCGGACTAAAAATAATCTTTTCAAAAGTGTAGCCACTACCAACACAATATCACACAATAGATTTTTTATACAAAGCTGACAAATTCTATTGCATAATATCCATACACATTTCACAGTTAACCATTCTCCTGATGTGATCAAAACATGATGATGTGAAGGCCACTAGGCCTTCACATCATCATGTTTTGAATTCACCTCTCGGGGCAAGTCCTGGTGTGTAGGGGCCTCGTTTGAGACATAGAATATTTTGTATATCAATCTATCTGTCTATATCTTTACGATGTATCCCTTGCGAGGCATATTCTCTTCAATAAAAAGAGAATAAAGCACGAAGAAGATGGCTTTATAACATAACCCCTATTTTTCACGATCAGTTACTTATAACGAAACAACTGTCAAGTATTAGCCCGACAAGATTAGTATCTATTGTATGCTAATACAACACTATCAGTAACTCTGATAATAGCAACATAATGTAAACTATAAAGCCTACGCTTTATAGTGTAGCTGTGTGGGCATTCTCACATATATAAATAAATATTTTTATAAGGAAGTCGTCATGTTCTGATGTGCTGAAGAGACGTGGCAAGACAACCAATTGCACACTTATCTGGGAAAGCCCACAGACACTGCTGGTGACCGGTAAACATTTCAAAAGACAGTGCTCAGTCACCGAAGTTCATAAAAAAAATTAACACGTTATCGTATTCTCTGAAAATTACATAAAAAACGTCGTGAAAAGTTTTCGTTGGTTGCGAGTTGCTAAAACTAGAGATTTAGTAAGAATTTTGTATTTTCAGAAAAAGGAGTCTTCAGATTATGTCTAAAAATACTAATACCTACATCCAATATTTACTGTTGTAACACGCGATCGTCAAATGTTTAACAAACAGGGTCTCTGCCCTCCAGTGGAATGTTAGTATAATTAAAGGAACAAAAACAACCAGAGAATAACAAGTCGATGAATCGTGGTTATTATTACGTTACACAATAATACCTTGCGTTGATAATAGCGTTCCACTCCGTCTGGTTTTAATATTTACAAACGGTAATTTTATCGACACCAACGCACAGAATAGTAAATGAGATGTTTGAGACCGTTTTTGAAGAGATAGTCATAGGGATAAGCGGTAAGCAGTAGTCTGTGAAGTATAATGATAACAACATTAAAAAGAGCAAACTATTTTAGCAATGATATGAGAAATTAATTTAAGAGTATAATTAAAAAGTTGATATTCTCAGAAGTCCGATATGGGATTCGAGTTATAATCTTCCGTTAACCAACCGCTGTAACCAAGTAATATTAGTTAACCCTAGCTCACTAACCTTATTTTCGAGTAACATTATCACTAACCATTCGTAAATTTTACGACAGATTGAAACACCAATATTTATTTAATATACTTTATTAATGACACAAAACAAACTTAATTAGCAGTCTTAGCCTCCTCTTAATCTTGTAAAAAAATTATATTTTGGAAATATTCTACATTGAACAATTATTGCACATAGAAACAATATGCTCCCGGCAAATCGCTTTTTTGACACCCTTGCAGAAGTTTGTGGTCATACGACGTTTTTTTGCAAGGCAGTAACTGCAAGTTTTGCGAGTTCTAGGAACGTCTTGGCTAGAACCTTCCTGAGGGTTATCAATTTTTAAGATCCCCGCGATGATCTGCTTTAAATTTCGTTGCAAAGCTATCGTCTGATATCACCTTCCTCGGATTCCGAAGACTGTGATTGAGTACCGGGGATTGACTCTGTGTCTGATTCAGCTAACCATTGTAAAATTTTATCTTTTTGCCTCGATAATTTCATCTGAAAGTATAAAAAATAAAAATAAATACATATAAAAAAAAACAACAAAATATCAAAATGTTGGAAAGACAATTGAAAAGTTGTGGTTATTTTTTAAAATATAGTAATTATTACGTCTTATTATAACATAAAAATAATATTTTCATAGTAATTATTGAAAATAATGATAAATAAATAAATGCACAACTTTGAAAAATAGTTACGTAGATACTAACCTTTCGTAATTTTTACGACGATCACACATTATATCTCAATGTAAAGAGCGTGCGCCTATAATCAGTGTTTGCGGGTCACTGGCGATGCAAATTAAGAAGGTATTAAAAACGGGCGGGGAGGCGGGGTTCAGGATCTTACCGAAACACTAAATACGCAAGGTAGGCGTCGTCATTTTGACGAATGGTTTGTGATACAGGGTTAATGATGAAAATAGAGTGGAAACCGTCTTTATTATTATTGCAGCCATACGACGCTTACTGTTTGCTAGACAGTGATGTCATTGTAGGTATATGCGCGTCCCAACCCTAGCTTTCATGCGAGGATACATCGAGGGTTTTTTAGATTTATCTTTGGAGACCCAACGAGTGGACATGTTAATATTTATTTATTTATTTATTTGAGCAACCAACAAGGTCAAACACTATACATGCAAATAAATTAATAATAAATAACAAAGACAATGTGCTGCCTTAATTAAAGGTTACCACGACATGCATATGAAAAAGTAACCTGGAAGCGTGTGGCCCCAACAATAAACAAGCTTAAATGTAATTACAGCATAACATACTTTTATAAATTAAAAGTAAAGAAACTTAATAGGTTAAATCTAATAGTGACTATGGTTAATAAAATATATTGCTATTGACATCAAGCTACACATTTAATTAAATATTTATTATTTTATTATTATTTTTTTTATATATATATAATATCCAACATATTGACAAGTTCACATAGTTGTGTGGAGAGTCCCCTATAACTTCGTCCCCCAATGATTATAAAACGTCATTATATCCTTCCCACTAGGTCAGTGGTGTAATCAGACTTCATTTATCCATCGTTAAAATAAACCTGTGACAATATAAGTATATTTTTGACTATATTTATTTTCTATCTTTGGCTACAAGTAACTTTTAAATTCCATTTCAGGAAAATA